TTTTTTTTCAAAGAAATGGAACAAATAATCCTAAAATTTATATGGAACCAGAAAAGATCCCAAATAGCCAGAGGAAAGTTAAAAAAGAAAACCAAAGTTGGTGGCATCACAATTCCAGACTTCAAGCTCTATTACAAACCTATAATCATCCAGATAGCATGGTACTGGCACAAAAACAAACACATAGATTGATGGAACAGAATAGAGAGCCCAGAAATGGACCCTCAACTCTATGGTCAACTAATCTTTGACAATGCAGAAAAGAATGTCCAATGGAAAAAAGATAGTCTCTTCACAAATGATGTTGGGAAAATTGGACAGCCACATGCAGAAGAATAAAACTGGACCATTTCCTTACACCACACACAAAAATAGACTCAAAATGGATGAAAGACCTCAGTGTGAGATAGGAATCCATCAAAATCCTTGAGGAGAACACAGGCAGCAACCTCTTCAACCTCAGCCACAGCAACTTCTTCCTAAAAACATCACCAAAGGCAAGGGAAGCTAGGGCAAAAATGAACTTTTGGGACTTCATCAAAACAAAAAGTTTTTGCACAGCATAGGAAACAGTCAACAAAACCAAAAGACAACTGACAGAATGGGAGAAGATATTTGCAAATGACATATCAGATAAAGGGCTAGAATCCAAAATCTATAAAGAACTTACCAAACTCAATATCCAAAGAACAAATAATCCAATCAAGAAATGGGCAGAGGGGGCGCCTGGTGGCTCAGTGGATTAAGCCTCTGCCTTCAGCTCAGGTCGTGATCTCAGGGTCCTGGGATCAAGCCCCACATCCGGCTCTCTACTCAGCAGGGAGCCTGCTTCCTCCTCTCTCTCTGCCTCTCTCTCTGCCTGCCTCTCTGCCTACTTGTGATCGCTCTGTCAAATAAATAAAATCTTAAAAAAAAAAAAAAAGAAAGAAATGGGCAGAAGACATGAACAGACATTTCTCCAAAGAAGACATCCAAATGGCCAACAGACACAAAAAAATGCGCTCCACATCACTTGGCATTAGGGAAATACAAATCAAAACCACACCAGTCAAAATGGCTAAAATTAACGAGTCTGGAATGGACAGATGTTGGCCAGGATAAGGAGGAACCCTCCTACACTGTTGTTGGGAATGCAAGCCAGTGCAGCCACTCTGGAAAACAGTATGGAGGTTCCTCAAAATTTGAAAATAGAGCTACCCTATGACCCAGCAATTGTACTACTGGGTATTTACCCCAAGGATACAAATGTAGTGATCTGAAGGGACACATGCACCCGAATGTTTATAGCAGCAGTGTCCACAATTGCCAAATTATGGAAAGAACCTACATGTCCATCAACAGATGAATGGATAAAGAAGATGTGAGATATATATATATATAGATATAGATATAGATATAGATATAGATATCTATATATATAATGCAGCCATCAAGAGAAACGAAATCTTTCTGTTTGCAACAATGTGGACAGAACTATAGGGTATTATGCTAAATGAAATGAGTCAATCAGAGAAAGATAATTATCATATGATCTCTCTGATATGAGGAATTTGAGAAGCAGGGCAGGGGTCATAGGGGTTAGGGAGGGAAAAAAAATGAAACAAGATGGGATCAGGAGGGAGACAAACCATAAGAGACTCATAATCTCATGAAACAAACTGAGGGTTGCTGGGGGTAAGGAGGTAGGGATAGGGTGGTTGGGTTATGGACATGTTAAAAAGAATGATAATAATAAAATAAAATCATTAAAAAAAAGAAGATGAAGAGGGGCACCTGGGTGGCTCAGTGGGTTAAAACCTCTGCCTTCAGCTCAGGTCATGATCTCAAGGTCCTGGGATCCAGCCCCAGATGGGGTTCTCTGCTCAGCAGGGAGCCTGCTTCCTCATCTCTCTCTCCCTGCCTCTCTGCCTATTTGTGATTTCTGTCTGTCAAATAAATAAATAAAATCTTTGAAAAAAAAAATAAAGAAGAAGAAGAAGAAAAATTATTACCAGAGATAAATTTTATCTGAGTGACTCATGTGTATGGCAGGACAAACATCTAATTATCAAACAGCTCCTATTCTTATGGCCCTGAGAATTGCCTTCCTCTTCTTTGAAGCCATTAACTTTTACCCCATTCTTTAGCTCAGGATGACACATATACCTCATTTTGCCTCTTGGTCTTTGAACCCCTTATGTATGTGAGGTTCCCATACACATGAATTTAAATTTTATTTTCTCCTGTTAATCCATCTCCTGTTAGTTTAATTCTTACACCAGCCAGAGGAACTTTTAAAGAATAGATGAAAATTTTTCCTCTCCAACAAGAGGAAAGTAGTAGGAATACAAAAGACTGGATTATTTCTTCCTTAGGTCAAAATAATTCAAAAGATACCACATGACAGAATCCTTAGTAATGAAAGGGAGCAAAATTTGCCACCCCAAATTTTGCCACCCCAAATCCTTATCTTTGGGATAAGGATTATCTTGAGCTGGTTATGTTTAAGAAATTGCAGAATAGAAAGGCTCTGAAAACTGAGTAGATATTACCCTTTTGTATGAAACATTTACTTTTGCAAGGAAAATCTCCATTTGTCAGCCTCCCCCCCTTTCTGTGCCCCCCCCCCCTCATAAGAAAGAGGGATGCTATCTTTCTAGAATTTCTGAAACTCTTATAAATGGAGAAGGCAATGATTTAAATCAGCGTAAGGACCATACACTTGTTTACTGTGCTTTTCCTGATAACCTCCTGTAACTGCCTTTCCCCTTCCCCCAACAAATTCTTTCTGTATTTAAGGCAGTGGCTTGGGCCATTTCAGGAAGTTACTCAGTTTTTCTGGGTATCTTTCATGCATACAGGAGGTATACATGTTATTAAACTTATACTTATTTTCCAGTGCTAATCTGTCTTTTTATTATAGAAGGTGGCTCAGTCAAGAATCTAGAAGGGTACTGGGGAAATAATTTTTCTTCCTCCACAGTTACAAGAAAAGATTCAAGATAGTTATAGTTATGCTTGAATACACAAATATAATTAACCTCATCCTGAGAACTACATATAACCCCAAGCTCCCAGTTATCCAAGTTAGACAAGACATGAAACTTTATAAAGTTACTAGTCTTAACAAGGCAATTGTTTTTTTTTTGTTTTGTTTTGTTTTTTTTTAAGATTTTATTTATTTGTCAGAGAGAGAGGGAGAGAGAGCGAGCACAGGCAGACAGAATGGCAGGCAGAGGCAGAGGGAGAAGCAGGTTCCCTGATGAGCAAGGAGCCCAATGTGGGACTCGATCCCAGGACGCTGGGATCATGACCTGAGCCGAAGGCAGCTGCTTAACCAACTGAGCCACCCAGGCGTCCCAAGGCAATTGTTTTTTGAAAGCATATCTTCAATTGTTGAGTAGAAAAAAGAAATATATTAAAAAAGAGAGAAAAGAAATGTATAATGCAGCTGAAGACCTCAAAACATAAAAACCAGAAAAGTATTTCAATTTAACAAATGAAACTGTCAGTATTTCTGCTTTGTATATTATCTTAGAAGAATGAGTTTATTCATTAGTAGGAGCATGTCTCTAGTCCAATGTGTTTATGTGAGAAGGACCTTTGAATAAAAAGTGACATTTGCCTACCATTTTCCATTTGATCTCCAAAGATGCTTAAAAACTAATTATAAAATATCAATTATGGGTAATTGAGTCCATCCATTTCTAAAATTAAGAAAATAAATAATTCAGATTATTCAAATGAATATCAAATGCAGTGGCATAAAAAAATCACGACATAAGGAATCTATTAAGAAACAAATCTAACACCATTCTGAATAATATGCATCAAAATCCATTGTGAATCTATCACAATGATTTTTATACTGTCAAGATATATTTTTTCTAATAATTAACTTATTTAAATGTAATTCCATAAAGTATGAAAATGTTTTAGGTTTTTTTTTTTGGTACCTGTGGGACACACATATGCATACCTATATTATTAAAGGGAAGTAATAATAATAGTTAATAGAAGTAGTATTTATGTGTCTTGCATGAAATGAATTTTTTATTTTACAAGTAATTTCTTCTCAATTCAATGAAGTGGATGTTATTATTATCCCTTTTTTAAAGATAGGGAAACTAAGGAACAGAGAAGTAGAAGGCTCAGTTCTACAGCCAGTACAGTTTAAAGAACTTGTGCTCGTGGACAGCTGGGTGGCTCAGTCAGTTAAGTGTCTGTCTTCAGGTCAGGTCACGCCACGATCCCAGGGTCCTGGGATCAAGTCCCAAGAATCGAGAATGGAGTTCCCTGCTCATCTGCTTCTCCCTCTTCCTGCCCTTCTCTCTCTCTGACAAATAAATAAATTAAAGGAGGAAAAAAAAAAAAAAAGAACCTGTGCTCAACTCCAAACAGGATTTGCAGTCAGGCAGACCCGATGTTGCCATCTCAGTAGTGCCATGCTCTTGGTCCAGGTGTTTAAGTTCTTTAAAAAAAGTCTCAAAATTGGGATGTGTAAAATAAGGATAATAATGTATCTCCCACAGCTACTGTGAAAGCACAGTGAGATAATGGATATGAACCAGCTCAGCCTGGGGCTTGCTGTCCCTGGGGCCACATGGCCTAATTCACGTGTTTCAAATGTCAGGTTCTCATGTAACCTCATGCCGTGGGACCCGGGCTAGGCAAAGACTTGTTTCCTTATCCCAGCTTCAATTTTTGATGTTATGCTACTATGAAAGCAAGTCCTAGACAAATTCTGCTAAGTGTCTAAACATTCGTTAGCAAGCAGTTACAAAAACAGTTCCACTCTCTCTGCTCCAACCATTCACTCGTATGCGAGGCTCACCCAACACCCCTTCTCAAGTCGGATCCCCTCTTCAGGTGAGGGCTGGGACCAGCGACTCTGTAAGAGAGTGTGCTTGGTGATCTCTCTTAAAGCTCCTTCATGCCATGGCAGGGGGGTATGTTCCATCTTCCCACCATCCACTTTGAACAGCATTCATGGTGCCACTGGAAACCATTAACATCCTTACCCTAATTAACAAGCTCTCTGGTGTTAGTTTTCATAACTGTATGTGAAGTGCTCCGAGAACCTCTGGAGTGTGGATTCCTGAGTAGAGTTCTTCAGTGCTGACTAATGGCTCCTAGGATAAGGATTAGAGTTAACTTGGACCCACGAGCATCCAGACCACTGGCTTGTACCAAGTTATTATTGTGTGAGGTATTACCACACAGACAATACAACCGTGTCCTGTTCGTGTTAGGTTGATAAACGTTATAGTCCTTCCCCCTTTCGGGACCCTTTCCCTCCATCCATCCACACCCACCCTCATCCTCAATGTAGAAGGTGACTAGCGCCTCTTGAAACAAAACATCTACAGAATCTAATTAGGGATATTGTCTACATCATTTCTCCCCAAGAAATAAGAAAGTCCATTGTGGATCTTAAAAAAAAAAAAAAAAGGGTCTAGAACAACACAGCAAGGGTAAGATTTTTCCCGTAATACATACAATTATCTCCAGTTATTGGAACTTTTGTTTTTGTATTTTTTTTTTAGAAGGTTCTTAAGTAAAACATGCTGGGATAGAGAGCCCTACCTCATCATTCATCCACAAGCCCTTTAGTCTTTTACCAATGCACGGTTTTATCAGCAATGTATATGTGTTAATTTGTGTGCAGTTAGAAAGATCCCACGGTTCTCCAAAATAAAAATGTTTAAGCTTCTTTTTCTGATTAAAAAAGATATATGCTCACTGTAAAAAAAATTTCCATAATACAGAAAAGAATAAGGAAAGTAAAATTAAAAAAAAATCTAAACTGCCACTATTCAGAGATAAACACTGAAAACAAATCTTTCTTAACACACATACATACTTTTCAAGGAGAGCATGGCAACGACCCAGGGTAAAGAGAGGAAAGACTCAGTAAAGTTGTAAGCTTTCTTGAAAAGAAGTGGAGGCCTGTATTTGCAACCTAGCAGAAAGTTCCTGTTCTGAGTAAACTACTTCTGTGGTCTTTTGTTGTAGAAATGTTTTTGTTGTGGAAATTAGGAACTTCAAGGGTTTGGGGGATTGTTCAAGTGATCACAAAATGTCACTGAATTTCCTTGTTTGCAAGGTTTTATTTTTCTTGTTCTGGTGTTCAAAATTCAGTCTAGCTCACAGACTCAGAAGAAGGAGGCCTGCCTCTTACCTCAGAAGGTCTCACTGGTGACTATCACTATGTTGATCAAAAGGTTGCCTCTGAGCCTTACACTAGGAGTCTTAGGTCAATAAAATGGAAAGGAATGCTAGTACAATTTTAGGCAGCCTGGACACAATTGAGATTATATATGAGTATTTCGTGAGGTTGTTGGGGGTGGGGAGTGGCAGCAATAATTTCAGTTTAGAGTTCTGTAATTCTTCTTTTAAGAATTTCCATTAAAGGGACACCTGGGTTGCTCAGTGGGTTAAGCATCTGCCTTCAGCTCAGGTCATGATCCCAGGATCCTGAGATTGAGTCCCACACTGGGTTCTTTGCTCAGCGGTGAGCCTGCTTCTCCCTCTGCCTACTGCTCCCCGGCTTGTGCTCTTTCTCTCTCTGACAAATAGATAAATGAAATCTTAAAAAAAAAAAGAGAGAGAGAGAGAGAATTTCCATTAAAAATAATCCCCCAAGCCCATTCCATTCATCATATCTCTTGATTTTCTAAAATACTGGTGTTTTCTAAAACCAGATCCTACCCCAACTATAGCTAAAAAACCCTTCTATAACTTCCTATTCGATTTCTGATAAAATCCAAACCGCTGGCAGAATCCAGAAGTTTTCCCTGATGGGACTCTTACCTCTCTCCCCAGTTGGATTCTAAATTCCATGAGATCCAGTACCATGTTTCTTACCAGCCATACTTGAAGACCATCTCTACCGAGAGAGGCAACATGCTGTGGCTCTTTCCCTGTTCTTGCCAAGACTTCGCATTTTCAACTTCATAGCTGGATACGAGACAGGGAAACTGAAGGGATCCCATGAGGAGGAAGGGGGGCTCTTTTTTCCTTTGCTTCTTTTCCAGCTTCTAGTCTTACTAGGACCTGCACCCCCTCCCCATTCTACACATGCCTTGTAATGCAAATAACATATGTCTTCCTTTATTATTACTTTTTTATGTAATTTTTATGTATTTTTAAAGTAGGTGCAATGCCCAGTGTGGGGTTTGAATTCATAATCCTGAGATCAAGAGTTGGCATTGCTACAGACTGAGCCAGTCAGCCCTTCTACATATGTCCTCCTTGTAAGGGATGAAGAGATAGGGGCACCTGGGTGGCTCAGTCGGGTAAGTACCTGCCTTTGTCTCAGGGGTGTGTGTGTGTGTGTGTGTATGTGTGTGTGTTCAGTAAACTCTGCTTTCACTTCCTGCTGGCTCATGTCTGATTTCCATCCTTCTCTAAGCCAAAGACCCTTTTGTTTGGTCCTGTGGGACCCTCGCTGGGTAACTGGACAGGGTCTGCCTGCATCAGATATGTGGTCCTTATCCCCTCCAGTTCTCTTCACCTCCTTACCCTTTCTTTGCTTGATCAACACCAGTCTGATTCCAGCTCAGAAAAGACGTCGCTGCTGTTGTAGGAAACCACTCTGACCCTTCCCAGAATGGCTTAAGCATCCTCTGTAAGTCCTTAGCCCCAAGTGCCGTCTTCTACCTAGACCTTCAATTGTCCACAACCCTGTCACCACCATCTCACAGCTCGTACTTCTCTGAACTCCTAGTGACAAGGAAAATCTGTGTTCTAAGATGGCCGACCAAGCCAGCAGGGGAATCCCAGTCCCTGCCACAGGGCCCTTCTGGGTTCTTCTTCCTGCCCCACTTTCTGCGTGCACCAAAAGTGCACCACGTGTACAGAAGTAGAAGTGTATAAATTACCCTCATTGCTTGTGGTCTGGGCTCAGACTTCTGGAGATCACTCTTCTCTGAGCCGGCTGGTGTCAGATAAACTTCCTATCCTCCCAGATCTCTGAAGGCCACTTGGTTCTTCTGCCGGGCAATCCAGTCCAGGTTCTGTAACACTAGATCTCAGTGTTTATCTCCTATTATGAAACTCATTACCCAGAGCAGAAATTTAATATGTTTTGAGTTAATATATTCGCCGGTTCATTGGATCCTCCCAAATCCTCTCTGATTAAGGGGCTAGGAAAAGTTTTATTTGCCTCATTCAGTAAATAGGCAGCTGAGGATTATAGTTTGGTAACTTGTCCAAGGTCTTACAGCTAGTGAGGAACAGAACTTAAACTAAAATGTGGAATTGAAACAAGTGCTCTCTCTACCATTTCTCCCTCTCTTTCCCTTGGTTACACACACACACACACACACACACACACACACACACCCCATTGAGAATGAATTCTCTGTCAAGTTACGATGTTAGCCAGATATTCCAACTGATAACGACTCTTAAAAAAAGTTTCTGAAAAGCATTTTGCCAGACGTTTATAGAAGTAAGAAACATGTTTTTATTTAACCACCAGAACCTCCGTAAAAATTGAGACTGTTATTTCTGGAGATTCTAGAATTTCCTTTGGAAATATCCCCTAACTAAAAGAAAGTCTGATGTAGCTTCATAAAAATCTAAGTTATAGTAGGTGCTGTGTTACTGAAAGCCACTGAGAAGACGGGGTTAAAAGCCCCAAAGTGGCTACAAACCATATAAGGAGAAACCCAATTTTTTTTTAAAACTTGTGATGAGCTCACGTTCTGCTTTTTGTTTTTTCTGAAAGCTGAAGTCAGTAACGGTGAGAGAGGCAGCCGGTCACGACCTGCGGTGGCTCTGGGGTCCCGCCTCCCGGGACTCCGTGCCAGGCACACTGAGCATGCAAGCCGCTCTTGTGATGACAGCTTGGCTGGTTTCCGTAGTTCCCAGTCACGAATATGGAGAGAACAGTTTGCCAGACATCAAAAATGAAGATTTCATCAAAGACTGTGTTCGAATTCATAACAAGTTCCGATCAGAGGTGAAACCAACAGCCAGTGCTATGCTATACATGGTAAGGAAAAGAGCAGTATCGTGGCATAAGTAAGTAAAAAACAGCTAAATGTGTACTGACTTGGGAGGTAAGTCCTTGCTAATCCGGAATGCTTTTATTTTTTTTTTCATCTTGATTCATGGGTGTGGTGAATTCATAATCTGTGATCAAAACTAATCCAGTTCAGCTCTCGTAAGCGAGCTCAGCTCGTACTTTTACGAGTAGTAAAAGTACCTTTTACTTCTCTTTTGAGATATTTCCTTTCCTCTGGTTATAGATAGATTTTACTTTTTTTTTTTTTTTTTTGTCCCTTTTTTCCCGGTTAATTTTTTAAGGTTTTTTTTTTTTTTTTTTTTTTTTTTAATATTGTTTTTTTTTTTTTTTTTTTGCTTTTTTTTGTTGTTGTTGTTGCTGGCAGACAATTGGCCTTCTCAAGAGGGTAGCATGGCATCTCAGGAAAGGATATGATTTTGAATCAGGTTTGGGTTTGAGTCCCGGCTCTGTGGCTGTGAGCAGGGTTTTTAACGTGTCTGGGTTCCTTAGGGTAGGGCCACAATTTGTATATTAAATTACATAAACTATGTGAAACACAGCATATTTTGCATGTAATGGGCCCACAGTGAAATGCTGATCTGTGTCCCTCATTTAGATTCTGAATTCTGCAAAACTCAATCATCAGGTTTCCCACTGGCCCTCTACAGTCGACCCCACTTAGCTGGAGGACCCGAGGGCAGCTGCTCCTTCTCTTTTCCGGTCATCACCCTCATCATGCCTCATTCCCCGTTCAGATTCTCACTCTGCTCACTCCTAGTACATTGTCTGGTGACAGTTTTCATTCTTTCTGAATGGAAAGGAATGGCAGCTTGCTTAATTCAGGAGGCTGGCCACCTGGGTTGGAGGCAGACTCTGGTCCAAAATTCAGCTCCAGGCTTTCTGCCTCGCCCAGACTGTTTTAAAGGGACAGTGAGGGGAGTGCAGTGACCTGTAATGTTTCCTGATTCTCCAAAGATTTAGTGGTGCCTACCTACAGCCTACAGGGCTGGAAGGTTGTGCAAGAGGCTAATTCCTGTTCTGTGACATGTGAGGGCTTTCTGTTCTCTCAACTGTAGGAGGCTGAGTCACCCTCTCATCACCAGCATTCTCATCTTTCAGTGTCTACACTGATCCCCCCTCAACTCTTTTTCCTCACGGTAGTTGAAAGATCTTCAAAAACCACAATTTTCATTCTTGACCTTCCTGTTGTTTAATGTTCCTTTTGGCAGACGTGGGACCCAGCGCTAGCCCTAATTGCAGAAACGTGGGCAAGAAACTGTAAGTTTGCACACAATGGACAGCTGCATTCGAACAGGCTGCACCCCAATTTCTCTTCAGTGGGAGAAAACATCTGGACTGGCTCTCTATCCCTATTCTCTGCATCTTCAGCCATCACAAGCTGGCGCAGTGAAGTTCAGGACTATGACTTCGAGACTCAGAGATGCACCAAGGTCTGTGGCCATTACACTCAGGTAAGCGTCTGCCCTATATTCTCTTGAAACCGTCTTTTCAAGCGTAAGGAGAAAACTGGAATCTGGTGTTAAGAAAGTATCTAGTAAGATGCTGCACCTGTAAATAGGAAAGAGTAGGGGTTGCAAGATTCCTTTAAAAATAAGTAAGTAGAGCAAACTTCCGAGGCCGGGAGGTAGAGCTTGAAGAGTTCAGTTATGGGCATAAACCTAACCGTGAGGCTCACCAGTCTGGACAGACTTCCAGTGTTTTAATAACAGCAACCCCCCTGGGGGATTTTATTCCATTCGTGAGCCTTAGAGGATGTGAGGACTGAATGCATTGTCAGGGATGGGTCCTCTATGAAATTGGAGACTTGATTTGGGGCTCTAAAATCGGGAGAAATAAGACTCTCTGACTGAGGCTTCAATTTCATATCCTCCCGTTCCTCCGAGCGTGGGCAGAGAGAGCCCATGATGTGTCCCAGAGGACGAGAAAAACAACAGTGAGAGGCCGCAGTGTTAAGTAAACCATCCTGTGGCTAATCCGCCCCCCAAATCTACAGTATTTAGTCCCAGTGGCCACATTCAGGGGTGCCCATTGAGTTTTTTGTTTGTTTTGGGTTTGTTTGTTTTTTTTTTAACTCAAGCTGGTTTTGGTTTTTTAACCGCCTAAGGCATGTTTGCAACATGTGGAAACATATCCTTCTGGTGGCATCTTCTGCGGCCTTCTTACTCTGCTGCCTTCCTAGCCCACCACATTTCACTTATTTACTTTCATTTCCCGGCATTCATTGTCAAGCCAATAACTAAAGGGGCTGAACCCGCGCCAGGCTGGTTCTAATGGATAAAAGTGTGTTGGAATGAGGTCTGAGAGCAAAAACATTTCTTTCTTTCTTTTTTTTTTTTTAGGATTTTATTTATTTATTTGACAGAGAGAGATCACAAGTAGGCAGAGAGGTGGGCAGAGAGAAAGGGGGAAGCAGGCTCCCTGCTGAGCAAGGATTCCCCGATGCGGGGCTTGATCCCAGGATCTTGAGATCTTGACCTGACCCGCAGGCAGAGGCTTAACCCACTAAGCCACCCAGGCGCCCCCAAAAACATTTCTAACAAGGTAGTTAACTTGGAATAATAGGTGTTTTTAAAGAGCAAAATATTGTTGGAAAAACTCTCAGTGTAGTTCAGCCTTATAGAGCCTCTAGTCTCAGTGGTGTGGTTCCAGGTAAAACAAGGTTGGCATCGCTATTTATTATGATGATGTGAGGGGAAGGGCAGATTTCAGTGACATTTTCACCTCAAGATTATTGTAAGCAAGGAAGAGTTATCAAACCACCAGTAGCATTTGTCCCTTTCTGGAAAATAAAAATAAGGTTTCCCCTAGACTTATCCTGTAAACCATACATCTTGGCTTATGTTCACAAAAAATTGTAACCAGAAAATTGATTCCATCAGAATCCCACAAGTCTTCAAGGGCCAGAAAGCTAATTCCAGGTTGTCCGCAAGGGGTACCTGGTACCATTAAACGTGGGGCTGTTTAAATTTCCAAAAATAATTGTCAGTTTGCCGGTACCGACTCTCATTCAGTTGTATTTAATCTTCTACCCTGCACAAGGCACTGTTGTAAGGCATCCCTGCCAACCAGAGCCTGGGACGCTAGCTTATGTCCTACCAAGTTACTGAGGAGTACAATAGCCAAGAAGTCAAAGTGAAGAGAAATGCGGGGTGGGGCAGGGAATGAGGGACACAGATGGCAATGGCCCCTGACCCTTAGGAGGTGACCTTCTTTGGGGAGAGACATGTATAAGTAAATGTAATAATGGCTCTAAGTGGTGCGTTGTGAGGAAACTGACAAGGTGCTGTGTGGGCAAAGAGGACGCAGCAACGTATCTGGCCAAAGGGAGGTCTGGAGACATAGGCCTTGTTTAAATAGAAGGAGCCGTATCAGTTGGTTCTTGAAAACTAAGTGTGAGTTTATCAGATGGAATGGAAAAGGAAGAGATCTCCAGGCAAAACTAACAGATGTACAGTGAGTACAAATGAGCCTTGTACTTCAGAAGAATGGCTAATAGCTCACCACACCAAATATGAGAAGATCAAAGGACTGTTAAACTGACCACACACTCCTTTTTTTTTTTCTAAAGATTTCATTTATTCGTTTGAGAGAGAAAGAGCACACAAGTAGGGGGAGTGGCAGAGGGGGAGGGAGAAGCAGACTCCCCGCTGAGTCAGCCAGGAGCCAGATGTAGGGCTGGATCCCAGGACCTGGAGATCGTGACCTGAGCTGAAGGCAGACGCTTAACCATCTGAGCCGCCCAGGCGTCCCGACCACAGACTCCTAAACCATGCAAGTCAACACACTCCATGTCCATCGTTCTAGGGACTAAAAACAAGAGGAGGAAACTTGATTTTACATCATATAGACCTGAGATTTCAGAGACGGCCCTCTCCAAATTAGCAGAGCTTACTTGTAAAATTTCCCCTTACATCTAGGACAAAGAAGGGCTCACATTTGGGACATGAGAAAACTCATTTCCTTGCATACAGGTATCAGAGCCCGTGCTGAGTGATCCTAATCTGTTCTCAGGATTAGAGACAACTACTTCCTACCCCCACTTCTGAAAAGCAAGCCTTATCCTGGAGAGGGAAGTCCAGGGACACCTTGGGTCTGGGATAAAGCAGCCACAGCAACTACTTTTAAGAGAGTGTGGTACTCAGCTCTCCGTAGTTTCAGATCTCCTTCGAATCTCACCACAAACCTTTCAGAAGCCGCAGTCATCCCAGATGACATCCCAGTCAACAGGCTCAGAGAGGTGAAGAAGTTGTTTTCCCAGATCTCACGTCCTCGCCTGGTCTGCGGGAGACCCCCTGAGCACTAACCCCAGTCCCCCGAGTAAGGTTCTATTTCCTCTGCCACGCATTGAAAGAAACAATCAGGAACCAGGAGAAACTCGCCAAACCGCAAGCACACGTGCGCATCGCGGGGGAAAGAACTGCTCGCCCAGAGAAGGTGGTGATGAAGTCTTAGAATATAAATAGGGTTCAGTGACGTAGAGTTCGGAGCCCACGGACAAGAAAGAACTCTTGAGACGTCTTTGGCGCAAAATGGTGGTTTATTAAAGCATGGGGACAGGACCCTTGGGCAGAAAGAGCTGTCCTGTGTTAGGGTACGGAGTCGACCACCCCTCAATTAGACAGAGAACACTCTCGATAATGCAAGTCACACAGCGATGTTTATTTCCAGCTAGCTGGGGTCCAAGTATCTGTCCGGCGCAGAGGGTTTCAACAAGGACCCCGAGCACCCAAAGCCAGGGTTTATATAGCATTTTCAAGGCACTTTTTCATAGCTACATACATCTCTTGCGCCCCACTTTGACAGTTTAACTTTAACTGTTTGCCACCCCGGCGTCACCCTGGCGGTTAAGGGAGGTTTAGGTTTAGAAGAACTTTCACCTTAATTACATTTCCTTCGGCCTCAGCCTCCTACAGTTTTATGGTGGGGAGGGCGACCTTTGACCTCATTTGTCTCTGGAAATTGGGCCATTGAAGAGATAGCGCTTTTTGTTGTAAATCACCAGGACATTTGCAAACCAAGAGAGACTCCTGTCTTGCAGGATTGTGATCTCTGCACGTCAACTATTTGTTTTTCTTTAACATTTGGTCCCTGTGGCGCCATCGTCTAACCACCCTGGTGGTAAATGATTAAGTTGTTTCTTAGGTTTTAGCTACTTTCGCTTATCTCAAGTTACGGCCGTGTGGGCTGGTTAGGGACGCTCAGTAAAATGGCTTCCCGGCCTTCAGGATGGCCACTCTTATGCTAACCCACTCTTACAGTGCAAGGTGCCAGCTTTTGCTTTGCCAAGATGGCTGTACTTATGTCAGGGCTAGACTTGAGGTGGGTACAGCCTTGTTTTTCTTGGCCTTCACACCTGGAGCTGGTTTCTGGGACTTGTTTTTTAAGTCCCCTGGGGGAAGGGGAGCAGGGACAGTAAAATAGGTCCTTACACCTGGAGTTGTGAGGGGTGGTCCATTACATGCTTGCAAGTTGGGAGGGGGTCAGGAATGGTGTTAGTCTCTAAGGAATTTTGGAAGCAAGGTTTCCAGGACCTTGAGGAGCTAGCTGTTGTTGGGAAAAAGGTTATTCATTACCAGTAATAAAACCTTTTCGTGAGACCCTTGTATATCAGTGGGCCATATGCTTGGGAATGATTGTCAACACTATCTTGGAGGGTTTAGAGATAAAGTTTCCAAAGGAATTGTTAAAGTAGACCTACAGGATTCTGATTGGGGGTAGAGGTCGGTCAGGCTAGGATTGCCCTTTGCCCTTAGCAAAGTGTTAAAGTGGAGGCACTTGAGTCCCTAGAGGAATGTCACTCTGCCTGTTTTAAGGGCTTGTTAGTGGGTAAGGAAATTTAATAATTTTTCTTCCGCCTCTGTTTCCCACATCAGTAGTGCATAGAATGGCTACAGCGGATGATAAAAAACTTCAGGTCTCCTTAAAGAAGTTAGGGGTTAACAGTATCTCTGGATTGAAGAAACAACTATGCTCACAAACCAAGAAACAGCCATCTCCCTTCACAAGCCAAAAAGTTCAGGCATCCCTGGCAGTGAACACTTCGGCCACCACAGGCAGTGCGGAGACAGAGCAGCTGACAGAAAGGCTGCCCAGCGTCTTTAAGCAATCTGGTGCAGACAGGCCGCCCAGTTCAGGAAGAATGGCTGAAGCTCTGCCCACACAGTCTCTGGACAGAAAAGCACCATTTGCTACCACAGAGGAGGGGGAGGAGGATGAAGTTCCAGATCTTGCAGAATTTCTTTTTAAAGATTTTATTTATTCATTTGACAGAGAGAGAAAGAGAGGGCACAAGCTGGGAGCCCTATGTGTGAACTGGATCCTGGGACCCAGAGATCATGACCTGAGCTGAAGGCAGATGCTTACCCACGAGCCACCCAGGTACCCCTGGATCTTGTGGAATTCTGATGAGGCTTCCAAGAATGAAGCAAACTGACCTGAGTCATCTTCTGAA